GGAGGCAGCGCTTGGGGCTGAGCCCCCTCCTCGGTGCCCTCGAGTCCAGCGTGTAAATACCTCGTGCAGCTCAGTACAAGTCCTCGCTTCTGCTCTGCTCTAGTGTCGCTGTTTCTGTGCCGGGGGGACCTTCCCTGAGCTGCACTCGGAGCTTGGGGTGTTTTTTAAACGAGCTTTTATAACCGTGCTATAGTGAAAGGCTTCGTGGCTCTCCCATACCATGTGCACGTGTGGCATCCAGCCCATAGATACACGTGTGCTGGAGGCAGGACACGCTGGGGGACAGGGCAGCTGGTGAGTAGACCCAGAGTACGTTGTATTTTGGGTCTAAGATAAAACGTTCAGGTTCTAGATTTTCCTCTGTTTTTTCCACTTTACTTTGTGGCACAGCCCATCCTCCCACCCCATCCTGAGTACTAATCTATTTTTCTATTTAATTTACATGAACTCCTCCTGCTGTCGCTACTACAGGTCGTACAGACACGTGAAGCCTCCAACCTCTCCACCGTTGGTGATGCTGCCTCGTTCTTGCCACGTGCAAAGGCATTGACTGAGGTTTGATGGTACATAGAGACCCCGGCTGAGTCCTCTGGGTGATGGGTGGCTCCAGCTGGCTGGGAAAAGGTGTAGCCACGTTTGAAATGCCCACGGGAATCTTAGAAGTGTGATTGAAGCTGTCCCTGAGGGTGATTCCAGGCCTGTGTGTTGAGGGTGGCTCAGGAGCATGTGCAGTGTGTCAGCAGGAGGCATCTCACTGTGTTTCTCTGCAGTGAAGGGATTTTCAGCTGTGCTGTTGATGTGCGGAGAGTGAAACAGTAATTAACAACTGCTTTATTTGGCACAGCTGAAGTGGATCCTTCTGTGTGGCTGCTGCTGTAGCCCCAGTGCTGCTGCCCAACATGGGCTCTGGCACCAGGGCACCAGCTTTTGTGCTTCTCTTCAGCTCATTTTAACCTGGGTGTTTATGAGTAGACACAGTTTGGTTTATTGGGCTGAAGGGTTTAGTCCTGTTCAAGATGTTCTTTATCTCTACCATGGGCTTAAGTAAAGGCAAACCCAAAGCTGCTGCACTTATTTCCTGGGGTAGAAGGACGGGTTGGAACCATTTTCTCATTTCCTTGCTTTTACTGCCTTTCTGGGTCACTTTTCCAGTTGTTGGTATCAGGCACACGGTGACGGCTTTGTCCTGACTGAACCTCGGTGAGGGGAAGCGCAGGCAGGAGGGTTATTTGTGTTCCTGCATTCTCTGTGTCTCACAGATCTGAGGCTCTTCCACCTTTTTTTGTTCACTTCTCCCATTGTCAGTATTCTGCACAGTTGGGCTGAGCTGTGTCTGGACTAGAACCCGGACCCACGGGGTTGTGTGGTCTGTTACGAGTAACAGCATTAAACTACAACCATTAGTTCCGTGTGAGTAGGCTACAGCATGTCTGTCCTCCGGTGTACCCGTGGTGAATTGTGACACTGTAAATGACAATCTGCCACTGCTGTATCCCCCCTCTGTACCACGACAATGTATGACTGAGATGGCCTTAGCAGGAATATAATGTTCTGTGTGAATCTGTACATGAATAAAGTGAAAACCATGGATGTAAGAGGTGATGAATGCTCTTTCCTAGATAATCCAAAGCTGGAGCCTGAGGTAAAGCATCAGGTAAGAGGTGGTACATGTGGTGCTTCCCTTCAGATCCCTGTCACCCCACTGACCTGCCTGCTGCGGGAAGCTGCAACATCCCAAAGTGTCCCACTTCCTGTTTTCCAGGCGTGTTTCCGAACGCCAAAGCTGAGCTCCAAGAATCCCATCCTGACTCCCAAGGGCAAGGTCTGGCCGGAGTGAGCTCTATCCCCATTCTCCAGCTCCAGGCCTGCAGAGAGGCACCCGCAGCAGGGCTGAGGTGGGACCTTGGTGTCACGTGGAGGGGACAAAACGTTTGATACCATGAGCAGGGCAGGGACAACGTTCAGGATTTAATCAGAGCAGGCTCTAGGAGTAACTCGCTGCTGTACATTGCGGGGTACAAAAGGGTCCCTGGTTACAGGTACTAACACAGCCTTTACACACCCCCTTTACACCAGTGTGCGGAGTCCTGTGCTTCACCAGGGGCCCTGGGCTTGAATAAATAGTTCAAATATAACCTCTTGGAAATGCTCTTGTAAAAAATTCCCTTTCTGTAGGATAAGTTACAGTTCCACACAGAGTAACACACCAGAGATCCCTTCCATGTTCAGAACCAGCTCTGTGCCAGTCTGGGTGTTGTTACTGCTTTGCCAAGCCCTAAACCCTGCCAAAGTTTGGCTGTGCTTACCTTCACACCAGTATAACCCTCCAGAAGCATTCCTCAGCTGTGGAAATACCACCATAATAGTGACATGAAGAGAAACAGGAAAGTGAAGTAGGAAACCCAAGAGTCATCCCAGGCAGATGTTTGTCAGTGCCAAGGATTCCACAGGTTCCTTGTTCCCCACACAGGGATAACACCCCAAATCCTCCCAGGTGCTCCAGTCAGGTCAACCATAGGAACTCTCATTCCAGCTCAGCTCAGCAAAGGAAAAGGGAAGAAATGCTGACCCTGGACAGAAAGTGTCTCAGGTTTCCCTGTACAAAAGCTTTCCCAGCCTCTGGATGTGATGGGAGAACAAGGGGAGGAGATCCTAAGGGAAGATCTCCCTGTCGTGGTGAGGACTGCTCAAACCAAAGTGTGATTCTTATGGTCACTGGTGCTGCTGGGATCCAAACTTGACGGGTGGTGGTGCATGAGCCGAAGGGAAGTTGGGCTTGGGAGCCTTAGTCCCAGTGCTCACCTTCCTGACGTAAAGCAGACTGTACCTGGAATACTGTGAGCCTTAAAGCACTCCCAGTGCTAGAGGAAACCTGGAGAGTAGCTTTGGACAAGGGATGAAGGGACAGGACAAGAGGAATGGCTTGAACCTGCCAGAGGGGAGATTGAGATGAGCTCTGAGGCAGAAGCTCTTCCCTGGGAGGGTGCTGAGGCGCTGGCACAGGGTGCCCAGAGAAGCTGTGGCTGCCCCATCCCTGGCAGTGTTCAAGGCCAGGTTGGACACAGGGGCTTGGAGCAACCTGCTCTAGTGGAAGGTGTCCCTGCCCGGGGCAGGGGGTTGGAGCTGGAGGAGCTTTAAGGGCCCTTCAACCCAAACCAGGCTGTGACTCTATGAGAAGGGGCCCTGCAAGGGTTATTCTCCTGCAATGTAGCAGCAGATGCTGGTCAGGAAAAGCCCTTGAACAGGAAGGTTCAGACTTAACCCCTTCCTCTGAACCCCTCACTGGGGGCATTTAACCAGTCACTGACCTAAAACTGCTGTTCAGGTTCCTACAGAGTCTTGCAGACAAATCTGGGCAATAAAGGCCTGAATTCCCTTGACTTAGGGATGTTTTTCACTTCCTTGCACTCTTTCTGCCATTAACCACAGGAACCCTGCCAGCTCCTGCTCAGAACTGAACTCACCTCAGGGGACTCTTGCACGGGTGGGATTAGCTGCAGCAAGTCAGCAGCAGAACAGGAGGTAACTTCCAATGGGAGTATTACAGGCAGACCTGTAGTTCTGAGCAGCAGTGGAGGAAAGAGCTCTGCTGGTCTCGCTGCACCAGGGGGAGAGGGCTTGATACAGGTAATGGGAAAATGCCAATTACAATGCCCTACACTGGCTTTTCCTGCTGGAACACTGCTCTTCACCCCTGTACACGAGGTGGTTTGGGCTCTCAAATCCAGGTGAGAAGATGAAGACACTGACTGACTGAGTGGCACATTGTGCAAGGTTCCACTGAAATGAAAGCAATAACCAGCACCTGCACAGACACAGCACATGGCTCCCGCTTGCCCAGATTGCTCCTAGAGAATCCAAACTGGAATGAAAGTCCAGATCTTCCCAAAGCTCACTCCCCTTCCCAAGGAGAGAGCTGGCTCACTGCTTGGATCTTTGGCAAAAGCAGAGATATCCCACCATTTCCTGAAAAGCACTTTAGTAAATCTAATTTTACGCATGATTTTCCACTAGGGAAAACAGAATTCATCTCACTAAGCTGCGAGGCTGAGAAACGCCACGTTGCGTCTCTTGATTGTACAAGTGTCATCAATCAAATCAAACTCACACCTTCATTGTAGCAGAGCTGAGCACTGGAACCTCCTGTCACTGCAGGCAGCAGGAGCCAACGGGCTCAACTACACCCTTCCAGCTGGAGGGAAGCAACTTACATGGACTTGTGCTGCCTCTCCCCCCACCCTGGTGCGGTGTTACCAGGCCCTGCCTTCAGGAGATGGAGCTGTACCAGGTGGGGAGTGAACAGTGTGAGGAAATCCTGGCAATCCAATGCATGTCCTTCACATCTAACCCTGCTTCCTTGTCACACCTCCCCCAGTCCCCTCGGGTAGGCTGTTGGCAAAGGGCTGTACAAAGGGCGCAGCTTAAACCGGAGCTGTAACTACCACGTTACTCCATGTTGACCAGAGCGTGCAGCTGCGGCTGGATCGAGTCTGTCTGTGTGTGCAGCACCGTCAGCTCGCTCAAGGTGGTTGCTATAAGGGCTTCCTGTGGCCCTGGTGTCCCATCAGACTTACAGTCTGTGCCCGTGGCAGAGCTGGTGTCGTGCAGCGCGGTCACGCTCCCCGGGGCAGCCGCTGCCAAGTTCTGGTAGTGGCTGGTCTCAGGGAAGGGCAGCAGCTTCTCCGGGATTTTAGGGGACACGTCGTATTCCTCATCGGGAAGCTCCGTTTTGTGACCCTCATCATTCTTAGCTGCTCCTTCCACAATGACCAGGAAGGACTTCCAGGGGGTGTTCTTGTCGTGTATCTGAAAACAGTCACCGGAGAACAGGAGGTTGGACACGTGCTGACTGTCCAGGAGGCACATCCAGCTTATATGGGATGCTGGCGGACGAGGCCTCTGTTTCCACCCCACGTAACACCTCCCCAGCCCAACAAAGCTGCCTGGCAGGTGGGAGGCCTGAGAAGGCGGCCGCAGGCAGAGGGCAGAGAGGTTCTTACCGAGGTGTGCCGCCGGAGCGTGGACTTGTCGGTGAAGGTCCTGCCGCAGGCGTTGCACATGAAGGGCTTCTCCCCGGTGTGGATGCGGTGGTGCCGCTGCAGCGCGTTCAGCTGCGTGAACTGCTTCCCACACTGGTCACAGCAGTAGGGCCGCTCCCCTGCAGAGCATTGAAAGGGTCATGCTGGGGGGCTGCACACACCCTGTGCTTCACCAGCTGAAGAGGCACTCACAAGCATGCTGGGTGCACCCTGAGCACGAGCAGCAGCTCAGGGGGGGGATCCGGCCACTCTGTTGTGCTCTGGGGAGACCCACATGCAGCCCT